ATGAAGAGCAAGCAACATGAGACATGCAGCTGATCTTCTGAAATCAGTGGCTTGTTTCCCTACTACAGAAATTTATCAATACTTACAAATAAGGCATTCGTTGATTTTATTTCGAAAGAAAATAAAAGACCTACATGGATGGAAAAATTATATGTATTAAATGTAGCAAATGTACCTAATTTTTCATGCCACTTCTTGAAGTAGTTATTGGCCTTATGGTTAAAATTCAGGATAATGAGTTACTTAAGTTTAGTGTTTCTGAAAGACTGTGGGAACGTTATTCATTAACAGCAAGTATATCATAAGTGCTATATTTAAACAACAATGTTGTTTCATTATTTACTAGTCTCTCTCGAAATGATAAATTTATTTCAGAGTGGTGTCTTTGGCAGACTCCAAGTTTGGATAGGACTGAAAAACAGTTCTCTCTTGTTCCCAGAACATTTCTTTCTCTAATGAAGAGTTGTAGTAATGGGATCATTAGTGAGGTGTTACTATCCACATTTGTGTTCCCTCATGCTGCTATTTATGCAACTGTAAAGCAGATGTGAAATAGCACCAGCTCCAAATTCTTAGTGTTTTATTCAGTCTGCATTAGATAAAATTACTACACAAAATGCAAGGCAAAAGTAAATCAGCCTTTTCTTAAATCCGGTCCTTGGCTGAAAAGTCATGCAAGTGATTGCCAGTTACAGTGTAGGGCACAGAGATGACTTTCTGCGATCAGGGATTCACTGTGAATATATTGTCTCAGCTGGAGGGAAGCTGTTGTTTCTCCATCCCCACAGTACATTCTTCTTGGGTAAAATAAAGGATTCCTCTCTGTACTGCTTCAGGATGGGCTGTTCACCTGTCCAGCTGATTGAAATCTGTCCTTCGCTCATCACATAAGCTCCTGCCCATTTCAGAAAAGATCTGTGTATCTTTAAGCATCCGCAGAGTGGGAGTTTACTAGCAGCAAAATGCACAGGCATGGTTGTTAGCAGGTCAGTGCTGCATTGGGCTGTGTCAGGCCTGTATGCTTCCCTTTGCTCTTCTTCCTTGAATGGCATCTTTCTCTTGTGTCATCTGGGGTTCCTCATGCTCATTGATTTTCAATTCATGGCGTTTAATTATAAATGAAAAGACAATGTTAGCTTACACCTCCCCTTGCTTTTCAGCATGTTCATGTTTTCTTCTTTACTCCCCAACCTGAAATTATAGGGCTGGTTCTGGTGCTGTTCAGTGGCTAAGATCAAAAGCAGCCCAATGTTTGCAGCTCGTAGGATGTAACAGCCTATTTGAAAGCCCCAGCATGTCAGTGCCCAAGACCCCCCAGGAACCACCAATGGATGGAAATCTGAAGCGTGCCCGGAGGACTGAGTGGGTGTGACAGCTATGTGGGTGACTGGGGGGAACTTCAAGTGCTTGATTCCCACAGCATCTTAGATTTTCTGCCAGGATAGACCACAGTTAACTTTAACAGCCATGAAGATCACTTGCCTGCATTTGCGGGGTTAATTACTCACGAAGCTGACAAGTTCAAGCTCTATTTCTTGCCTAGAAGACTTGCTTTAAGCCAAGCCAGTGCAAAATATCCTCTTAGAGGCAGCCTTGTTTGCTTTCCTTTGGGGACCACACCCGTACCTGTGCTGGCCTGAATGTATAGGTAAGCTTTACAAGTTAGTACCTAAGTTGTTGACACAGTTGTATTGGAGGTTTGCTATAGATTCGAGGTGCTCCTTAACAGCTGCTTATACCAGAGAGCAACAACTGGAAGGGCCACAGCCACTTCCACAACCCTGTAAATACACCTTGGACGCTTGTTTCTAAGCAGGCGTTTCTGCCACTTCCATTTCAGTAACAGCTTAGCAGTTTACTCACATAGTTGCTTCTTATTTTCTCTAAGGGTCTGTCATTATGCAGATATATAATACATCTGGAATGGTTTATGTTCTCTGTGTCAGGAAAAGGGCTTCCTAAGCATCAGAAGCCCACAGGAGTTCAAATCCCCACGTTAAGTCATCTCTGAGTAGTTACACACTAGACTGGAATTATAGGACAGAAACAGAAGCCCTGAGTACAAGCCCTTCCTGCCCAAGCTCAGTTAGGATTTCCTAGTAGTAACAGGAGGGCCTTATCATATAGATGGACTTACTAAGAGGGTGGGTTTTTTTGGTTAGGCTGGTATGCAAATGTCAAAAGGAAGTGGCTAGGGGAGGGGGAAGGAGGTAAGGCAGAGCGACATGTTTTATTTTTATCCTAAAATTACATTCAATGAATTTAGTACATTGTAAATTGCTGTCTTGGGCTGTTCAGGGGGTTGTCTTAAAGTTCTGTCTCCACAAAACAGACAGCGATGACAGTGCATTTTTTTTCCTTGATTTTTAAAGTGCAAATCAGGAGAAGAGGAAGAATGCGTTAAATCTCATGTGTTCTCGCATTCTGTCCTGTGGTACCATGGTGTGAATCAAGAAGGACTTCTTGAGGTCAATGAAATTAATTCAATATAAAATCAGCATAGTTCAGTATCAATGTGATTTTTGCAAGGTGTGATGTGTCTTCTAACAGCTGATTAACTTTTTTATCAGAGTAAACAGAATGATTGAATCTTAGTTTTTGAGTTTCTCTGGGAAGTTAGTAGCCAGAAGGACAGAGGATGCTCTGAAGATTACCTGTACAGCATGGTGGTGTCCCAGAAGCTCATGGTTAAAACCCTTCTATGACTCAGTGACAGGGTGCTTCAGGGAGGACAAAGGAAAAATGGTTTACAGATCAGCCAAGTTCAGTTGGACAGATGTCTTGATTTGGGAGCAACAGAATTTGAAATCAAACCCTGAAGTGTGAGATACCATAAGCCTTTATATTTTCTTCAGGGTGAAGGACCAGTTACAGAGAGCAGTTGTTTGTCACCTTTATTGACCTCTTAAAATAATTGCTCTCCAGCACGTTACAGTACAGCACTGTGCCACAGATCCTGGGAGTCTAGGTATAAAGGACTGAGCTAGAGGTTTGGATGAGATTTGAAAGTGTAACTAAGAGCGATGTAAAGAGTGATGTGGTAGTGCTGTAAGACTGATGTAGAGCTGCGATTTGTTCTGGACGGAGGAAGGAAGCAATTGGCACAGACTGAAACTGTGCACACTTTCAACAAAGTGGTGCCAAGTAGCCACTTACCAAACGCAGAACAAAGCCACAGAGAAGAAGCATAAGTAAGGCTGCAGCTGCTATGAATGGTGAACAGAGAGCCAGTAGTGCTATGGGTAATATTATAAATTTATTGAATAGACAAAATTGAGACATAAGAGTGAGGATTGGCCGGACATCACAGCATCTTCCCCCAGCTGCGCTTCTCGGCCGCTTCAGGCAGAGGACAGGCTATTGCTATGCACAGTTTCAAATGGATTTGTCAGTGCACAGCATTCTTAATTTTTGTGACTTGTTTATGTCATGGCTGAAAGTAAGGATGTCAGCATTTAACCAGATGAGACTGAGAAATTATGTGACTAGAAATATCCAGAACACTTGAGCACGCCATAAAAGAGATGTGACTGGAAGCGAGTCGGGAGTTTATTTCTTAGCATAATAACCAGTGATTAATGGTTCCAAATTTATGATTAACTGTGTAGCAAAAAGATAGACAGGTATCTGCAGGAGATTGCTGGAGTCCCTGATGAATGCCAGTTCACATCACTGGGGACAGTTTGTGTAAGGCAATAGTCTGTATATTCATTCCTGGATAAGAAATGTGAAGCCCTATGTTCATTGTTACGCTGGACTGCAGATCTGTTGTGTTCAATTTGTAGATAAAGCAATGTGTTTCGCTTTGTGGTTTGCGTCAGGGGATGGGGTCGGGATCTTAACTGCAACCCAACCTAGGAGCTGTGAGCTGAGCTAGACTTCTTCTTACTGTGCGATGTCATTGCTCATAAATGCTCTGTGAAGTCCAGCGGGTCTCAGTGACACCAGGGAGGTGCCATTTTTTCTTACTTCAGTTATAACTGGATTAAACTAAATGGCAATTTGGCATATTGTGTGTGGAGTGGAATGGGATCCAGCCTATCAGGTGTTGTGCTCCATGTGCACGTTTGACAAGAGTAAAAGCTGAAGCAAATAAGCTCTCACTTGAATAGACCTACAAAGTACAATTTTTCTGGGTACAAATTTTCTTGATGGTGATGGAGTTGAGAGCTCAGGGGGACTATCTTAAACACACTTGTGATAGATATCTCAATGTACTTTCATGCAAGTCAGCAGAATTAGGTCAAAATTTTGCAGAAGATAATGCTTCATGTACGCTACTTACCTCTTTCTTTTAATTCTTGGAGGTTTGCTCCATATTTTGGTGATAGCTCAGACTTCCTGATCTTGTCAGGATCCTTTTTGCCATGTAGCAGCACTCTGAGTTATTTGAGAACAAAGATATAGTAAATAATAACAAATAAGAAGAATTTAGAATTGTATCAGCATATGTTGGTGTTCCTCCATACCACAGTGGCATTCATCACAGTGTTAACTTTATACAGCAGGGTAAATTAAAACAGTAAGGGAAAGCATAATTAAGTACCTTTTTATTATGATCATGAAAGCATTGGAAGGAACTAGAAAAACGTAGAGGCCATGTCTACACTGCAGACATTTGACCATCTAGTTGTGTTGATTTCTGAGCTTTTGTTGATGTCAGTGTCAGCAAAAGCCTTTCTCTTAGTGCTGTTAAATTGGCAGAAGTTTACTTCTTACTGGTAGAACGCACTTTGAGAGGTGAGAGCTGGAATACAGTGCTTCAACAGCAGAAACTGCAGCAGCATTAAGGATGTTGGCAGCTTGACTGCCAAATGGTCACAATGTGGGCTGCAGGGTCTTCGTTACTCACAAGACCTTATCTGGCTGGAGGAGGGACTAGTGGAAATTTGTTTGCATATAAGTTGCCAACTGCTGCGTTGTGTACTAATAGCAAAAATCTCAACAATGGCTATCTCTAACCGATTCTTCCTTTCTGTTTTCTTCTGTTTCTCCTGCAGGGCTTGTGAAGCTGGGGGTTCACTGTGTCACATGTCAGAAGGTCGCGATAAAAATTGTCAACAGAGAGAAGCTCAGCGAGTCGGTGCTAATGAAGGTAATTTTCTAATGGGAGATTTAAAAAAAACCTGTGTTCTTGGCTCTGTGTCTTGTGTTCCATGCAAAATTAATATCCTTAATTATATATAACAAACATCCCTGTCAGTACTAGGATTATGTGGAGCATAATAACAATAATTTAGTTATGGGGGAGGCTAGGGCAGCTAAAATTAAATGGCGTATGCCTGTGCTTTGTGAACAAAATAAACGGTCAGCTGCAGAGTTGTTGCGTCTCTGCTGGGGCAGATCTGTGTTGGGCATCTGCCTTCCACCGCTGCAGCAGTGCGTAATAGTTGCAGTGCATTGCAGACTCAGGGGTACAAATGTCACTAGGAAGAGATTTAAGAGAGGCTGGTTAATCTGTTGGTTGAATACTCCTACTGCTTCCTCTGCTGCCTGGGTTCGTTATGATCTGATGCGCCAAGGTCCATGACTGTTTAAAGCTGTTGTAATTCTGTTAACATTCCATAGAGCTGTGCCACTGGAAACCATCAAAGTGTCTGTCGCGATGGTCCCAACGACTATAGCATTCAGAAGAGCTTAGTTCATTTTTACTTAGCCTTGTGATATCCATCTCCTTACATGAGTGTCATTGATTGATCTTGGAAACCTAAAAATAAAATAAATGTATGCATAAAAGTTTATTCATGTGATTTGGTGACTAGAAAGGCTAAATTCAGCTTGTTGGGAGGGAATATAACTGCACTGCAATCAGAATTCCATCAAGCTGTGACCTGCAAATGACACTAACAGGTCTGCATGCAGCATAAAGCACTTTATTGAGGTAACTTCCCTATAAGCACACGGAGCATATATCTTTACACTGCTGTTTCTTATATGTACTTCTGTGTCAACTGTTTTCCAGCACAAGTAAGTATAGCAACCTTACTAGGAGCAGAAGGAAAATGGAGATTAAAGGAATATGCAGTCAGTGAATGTTATGCGTACAATATAAGTTTATTTTTTTCAGGGAAGGCTTCTTAAAGTTTATATTCAATTGTAATGTGTTCAGGCTTACCTTTCTGGAATTTCATTGAAGTGTTACCTTTCCTGCAGTACTGTGGATTCAGTCTTCTAATATAGACCTGAAGTTAGAAAGTGAAATAGGTAAGAAAACTACAACTTTAGAGGGAGATTCAGTGGATGAATGGAATACAACAAAAGAAAAAAAGTGTGTAAATGGTAAAATCTGAATGAGACTCTAAACACATTGAATATTTTCCAGAGTAACATAGTAGGAATATTTTTAAAAAACGTGAGCACTTTGTTTGCCGAGAGACACTGTCTGGTATCTGTATAAAACATTTTATTTACCTCATTGATTTTCAGAGTAGGAGGCAAATCACTTAGCATAGCAAAGTGATCTCTCTGCTTTAGTTGTGTTGCATTACCTCGGTTGTAGTATGAAATCTGAGTAGTGAAACGGTGTGTTAGGCCCTTGTTTACACAGCCGCATGCCTTATTTTCTGTAAGATTGCAGAACATCTTTCTCAGGAGGAAACCACATGTTGTATCATGATTCTCATTTTCAGACCATTCTTGGTGAAACTGTGTCTTTCAAGGATTCTGTTCTCTGCACTCAGGAGATTGGAACAACAGATGGGATTGAACTGGTTTGCCCAGTTCTTGCACGAACTCAGTAACCAGATGTCTTTTCAGG